GCAGGATGGGTGGGAGAACGGATCTGGCAGCGGAACAGCGCAGTGCGGAGGCGAAGAGGGCTACTCGAGGTGGATTTTGTTTGGGGGACAGCCATGAAGTGACAATGACGGGGAGGCTGAGGCAGTGCCGGGTTCGGGGCGGGGGCGAATTAGACCATAGGGCTGAGCTCTGCGGCCGCCTCGGTGCCTCCCCAGCCACCTCCGCCCCTGCCTGCCTCTAATTCAACAGCACCCACCCTACAAAAACAGGGCCCGCCCAGCTCCGTGGATGGCAAAGTTAACAGCGCGGGCACGCGGGCGGCCAGTCCCCGGCAGCCCGCGCGCGTCACAGGGGCGGATGCAGAGGACCAGGAAGTTCGCCGACTACGCGCCCGCCCTGGGGCACCGGCGCCGGCCCAGGTTCGCCGGGGGGGCCCGGAGGAAGCTCGGGGGACGCGACGGGGGAGCGCGCAGACCCCGGGGATCTGCAGGCGCGCCCCGGCCGTGCGCCTCCTCGCCGCGTGTCCAGGCCGTGTCCCCCGCCGCGCGCCATGCGCCCTGGGGGCGTGCGCAGCTTCGCGCTGGAGCTGGCGCGGGGCCCGGGCGGCGCCTACCGCGGCGGGGAGCGGCTGTGCGGCCGGGTGCTGCTGGAGGCGGCGGCGCCGCTGCGGGTGCGAGCGCTCGAGGTGAAGGCGCGCGGTGGGGCGGCCACCCACTGGCTGGAGGGTCGCAGCGTGGGTGTCAACGCCTTATCCAGCGACTACGCGGCCGCCGAGACCTACCTGCGGCGTCGGCAGCTGCTGCTCCGAGGTGAGACACTCGTCGCGCCGGCCCCACAGCAGCCGGGACCCCCTCGGCCGGGACCCTCTTCGGGGCCGGAAGCCTCTCAACTTAGAACCTCTGCGGTCGGGTGATCCTTTTCAAGGAGCGGGAACCCCCTTCCCGGGGTCCTGACCCTCCCACAGGTCAGGAGTTCAAGACTAGCCTGGGCGACATGGCGACACCCCATATCTCCAAAAACTACCAAAATTAGCCAGGCGTAGTGGCGCGCTCCTGGAGTCCCACCTACAGGCTGAAGTGGGAAGATCGCTTGAGCCTGGGAGATAGAGGTTGTAATGGGCTGAGATCGCACTCCAGCCTGGACACCCACCCCGCCCTGGTCAGGACCCCCACTAACCCGGAACGTCTACCCAGGGTCTGGGCGTTCCCTTCTCTGGAGTCAGAGGCCCTCGACTTAGAGGCTGTGCGGTGGGGAGACCCCTTTCAAAGCAGGGGGACCCTCCTATTAGAGTTCAGGGAACCCCTGGGAAGTGGAGTGGGAGATCTCCCTGGTGGACCCCAGGGTCCCCGTTGATCCCAGGCCTGGAGTCCCTGATTCTCAAAGAAGGCCCCCAACTCGTGTTACCCAGGGCCCAACCTCAGTTTACCCCACAGGGTCTGCAGCGCTGAGTTCTTCCCTGGGGTAGGGTTGGGGGTCTAGTGGTATTTCCCGGTGAGGAGGTGGAAATGCATCCCAGAGGGGAAGAGATGAAGTGGGGTCACATTCTCCTGGGAGTCTGGGTCTTGGGCAGGTCTCTACTCTTCCCCGAACCTCAGTCTTTCTCGCACCCCAAGCGTCCCTAGGATACACAGCTGGTCACCAGTGAGCCAGGGGCCACAGAAGGAGGCAGTCCATACCCTCACACCCTACTGTGTGGCTATGGGAGGGCATCATCCTCTCTGGGCTGCCCTGGCTATTCCTCCGGGCCAAGCCAGACCTCGCTATATCCGTCTGTAAAATGGGCCAGGAGGGAGGCAGACCAGATTCCCGACAGCCCCACTTTTTCCCCAGCGCTGCGGGCAATAGAAGCTTTGCGCATGCAAGAGCCACAGGTGCGGGGGACCCTTCCCTCCCCAGCAGTGGAAACAGAGGAGCAAGCGCGGTGGGGCGGGGCAGGAAGGAGCCCAGGAGGCACTTCCCTTCCCTGGCAACTCGGAGAACTATTTGGGGCCGCTTTCACCTGAAGGCTGCCTGGACACTCAACGGCGACTTCCTTAAAACACTGGAGAGGCAGCCTGGTGCGGTGGCTCGTGCCTGTAATCCCAGCACTGTGGGAGGCCGAGGAGGGCAGATCACCTGAGGTCAGGAGTTCGAGACCAGCCTGGCCAACATGGTGAAACTTTGTCTCCATTAAAAATACAAAAATTAGCCGGGCGTGTTGGTGGGATCCTGTAATCCCAGCTAGTAAGACAGAAGAATTGTCTGAACCCGGCAGGTGGGCAGAGGTTGCAGTGAGCTGAGATGGCACCACTACACTCCAGCCTCCGTGACAGAGCAAAACTCTGTCTCAAAAACAAAAAAAAAAAAAAAAAACACTGGAGATGCGAGCCTGGTGGGCCTGCCTGCCTGTGGTTCCAGCTACACAGAGGCTGAAGCAGAACGATCGCTTGAGCCCAGAAGTTCGAGGCCAGCCTGGGCAACATAGCAAGACCTCCCATCCCCCGCCCCATTTTTGTTTCTGTTTGTTTTTGTTTTCGAGACAGGGTCTTACTCTGTTGCTCAGGCTGGAGTGCAGTGCCGCGATCTTGGCTCACTGCAACCTCTGCCTCCTGGGTTCAAGTGATTCTACAACCTCAGCCTCCTGAGTAGCTGTGACTACAGATACCCGCCACCATACCCAGCTAACTTTTGTTAGTTAGTTTTTTTTTTTTTGAGACAGAGTCTCACTGTCACCCAGGCTAGAGTGCATTGGCACCGGCGCAATCTCGGCTCACTGCAACCTCTGCCTCCTGGGTTCCAGTGATTCTCCTGCCTCAGTCTCCTGAGTAGCTGGGATTATAGGTGCCCGCCAACATGCTGGCTAATTTTTGTATTTTTGGTAGAGACGGGTTTCACCATGTTGGCCAGGCTGGTCACGAACTCCTGACCTCAGGTGATCCACACGCCTTGGCCTTCCAAAGTGCTTGGCTTACAGGCATGAGCCACCGTGCCGGCCCCCATCTCTTAAAATACATAAAAATTGGCCAGGCGCAGTGGCTCACGCCTCTAATCCCAGTACTTTGGGAGGCCAAGGCGGGAGGATCACCTGAGGTCAGGAGTTCAAGACCAGCCTGGCCAACATGGTGAAGCCCCGTCTCTACTAAAAATACAAAAATTAGACAGGCTATTTTTTTTTTTTTTTTTTTTTTGAGGCAGAATTTAACTCTTGTTGCCCAGGCTGGAGTACAATGGCGTGATCTCAGCTCACTGCAACCTCTGCCTCCCAGGTTCAAGTGATTCTCCTGCCTCAGCCTCCCAAGTAGCTGGGATTACAGGCATGTGCCACCACACCCAGCTAATTTTGTATTTATTTATTTATTTATTTATTTATTTTGAGATGGAGTCTCCCTATGTCGCCCAGGCTGGAGTGCAGTGGCGCAATCTCCGCTCACTGCAAGCTCCGCCGCCTCCCGGGTTCACGCCATTCTCCTGCCTCAGCCTCCCGAGTAACTGGGACTACAGGCGCCCGCCACCACGCGCGGCTAATTTTTTTTTTTTTTTGTATTTTCAGTGGAGACTGGGTATCACCGTGTTCATCAGGATGGTCTCGATCTCCTGACCTCGTGATCCATCCGCCTTGGCCTCCCAAAGTGCTGGGATTACAGGCGTGAGCCACCGCGCCCGGCCAATTTTGTATTTTTAGTAGAGACAGGGTGTCTCCATGTTGGTCAGGCTGAATTTGAACTCCCGACCTCAGGTGATCTGCCTGCCTTGGCCTCTCAAAGTGCTGGGATTACAGGCATGAGCCACCTCGCCTGGCCAATTTAAATTTAAAAATTTAAATAAAAATTTAATTTAAAAATTAGCCCAGCTACTCAGGGGGCTAAGGCAGGAGAATCTATGGAACCCAGGAGGTGGAGGTTGCAGTGAGCCGAGATGGTGCCATGCACTACAGCCTGGGTGTCAGCGTGAAACCCTGTCTCAAAAAAAAAAAAAAAAAATTAAATTAAAATTTTGGCTGGGTGCAGTGGCTCACACCTGTAATCCCAGCACTTTGGGAGGCTGTGGTGGGCAGATGGCTTGAGCTCAAGAGTTCAAGACCAGCCTGGGCAACATGGTGAAACCCCATCTCTTCAAAAAATACAAAAATTAGCCGGGTGTGGTGGTGCGCACCTGTAATCCCAGCTACTCTGGAGGCTGAGGTGGAAGGATCGCTTCTTTCCACCTGAGGTGGAAGGGAGGCAGAGGTTGCAGTGAACCGAGATCGTGCCACTGCACTCCAGCCTGGGCAACAGAGTGAGATCCTGTCTCAAAAAATAAATAAATAAATAAATAAATAAATAAATAAATAGTTAAACATTTAAGGGAAAAAAACAGTGGCACTGGAGGCCAGTGGAGCTGCTGTGTGACCCCGGGCAGGGCCCCGCCCCTCTCTGGGCCTCTGGGGTCCATCTGTGAAATGAATTGAGGGAGGCGCTGGCTCAGTAGTCCCTTCAGGGTTACGTCATCCCGCTTCTCCTCCCGGACTTAACGGCCTACTGTCTCCCTTCTAGTATCCACTGAAACCTGGCCTAAGGTCCCAGACCTTCCTTTCAACTCCAAAGACCCATCCTCCCAGGCAGCCTTCCAGGCTGATCACTGTGCCTCCAACCCCTTCGTTCCTGTTCTGACCCCCGTCACGGACTGCGGGTGACCGTGTTTGTTTATGACCGCCCCCTCCACACCCACACACCTCACTGAGGTGGTGGAAGTCTCGTGGTCTCCTGAACCGAGCTCAGAGGCGGACAGTCAGGGCAGGGGATGGGTTCAGCAGCAGCGCATTCCGCTGCCACGAGAGGGCGCCCGCGTCCCGCAGACGACGCAGAGGCAACTCCCGCTGGAGAAACTCCAAGCGACTTTTCTTTGGGGAAACTAAAGCCCAGAGAGGTGTCACGTGGTCCCGAAACCACACCGCAGCCGTGGACCTGGGGGTGCCCGAGCGTCCCCTGCATTCAGCTCTGTGAAGGGAAAGGGGCTGAGGAGGACTGGAGCAAGCACAAGGGCTGCGGGGAAGGTAGGGTTTGCCAGAGGGTGAAAATTGGGAAAGGAACATCAGGTCGTAGGTACCGCTCCTGGGCGAATGCGCCGAGGCGCGACCGGGTGACGGTATGACGGTATGTCAGGAGCAGGTTGATGACCCGGGGGCGAGGCTCTTGGAGGAGTCCGGCTGGGGCTGCACGATGATCCATGCACGACTTTCTGAGGTCGGGACTGATTTTTATTTTCTCCCGGCTCTACACAGGTGGAAACTGAGGCTCCAGGAGGTTGTCATTTGCCCAGAGCCACCAGCTGAAAGGGACTTGAATCAGGGAAGGGGTGCAGCAGGCACCAGCGTGGAGGGCAGTCCCACTCACGTCTTCCACTTCTCCCTTTGCATAGCGGGGGGAAAAAGCCTGGAACAGTCATAGGCTCTAGGGCCCTCAACTGGGGCGAGAGCCCCCCGCCCCAAATCGGGCTGGACATGCCTCGAGTCACGTCTACGAGTGGCGGCTGGTGAGCGATTAAGCCGAGAGGCTGAAAGCTCTGCTAGGTGACCTCAGGCCTGGGCCCTGCCTCTGGACCTCTTTTTCCCTCTTTGCTCCCGGGGTCCTCGAGAGACCAGCTTTGACCGCCTCAGGGCTTCAGTTTCTCCCCGGGGTCCGCGAGGGAGTGAGGCAGCGTGGGGCAGCCGGCGGTGAGCAGGGGCGTTTGTTATTTTGCTCCACGCTAGGGCAGAGTCACGCCCCTTGTCGCGCTATTGGTGGAGTCCCTTCAGGGGGCGGGGGAGAGACGGTGACCCCGCCCCCCGCCCTGCCGTATAAAAGCGGCGCCGACGCACGGCGCGGGTATTTTCTGCTCGGGCTGGTGAACGCGCCTGCGTGTTGCGGGCGATTTTGCGTTCTGAGGCTGCAGCGTCGGCACCTTGAGCTGCCGGTTCACGGGTTCGAGGCCAGGTTCCGCGTGTCGTGGGTTCGCACCCCGGACGCGATGCTATTCGACAAGGTGAAAGCGTTCTCGGTGCAATTGGACGGTGCGACCGCGGGCGCCGAGCCCGTGTTCAGCGGCGGCCAGGCCGTGGCGGGCCGGGTGCTGCTGGAGCTGGCAAGCGCCGTACGCGTGGGTGCCCTGAGGCTGCGCGCGCGGGGCCGCGCGCATGTGCACTGGACCGAGTCGCGCAGCGCGGGCTCGAGCACGGCTTACACGCAGAGCTACAGTGAGCGCGTGGAGGTCGTGAGCCACCGTGCCACGCTCCTGGCGCCAGGTACGGATGGGTGACCCCTGCTCGGCGCACCAGTTGTGCGCCAGCCACCGCCTGGATGGCGGTACCTTTGTCAGCCCTGGGACCCCAACGCAAGCACTCAGTCGCCTCCTTTTGCTTCTACCTGCAGATACTGGGGAGACCACCACGCTGCCTCCTGGGCGCCATGAGTTCCTGTTCAGCTTCCAGCTGCCCCCGTAAGTCCTCTGAGGTGCAGGGTTGCCCTAAGCCTGCAGCCCCTTCCAGATTTGTACCTCCAATACTGGATATCTGGGCACCTCTGAGCCCCAAGACCCTCCCCCTGGGAGGCCCCTAGAGTGTCTGTGTCTCCTTCTCCCTGCCTGTGTGTCTCTGTATCTTGCCCCCTGAAGTCCCATCCCTCCACCCCAGGAACCTGGTGACATCCTTCGAGGGCAAACATGGTAGTGTCCGCTACTGTATCAAGGCAACCCTGCACCGGCCCTGGGTCCCAGCACGCCGGGCAAGGAAGGTGTTCACTGTCATCGAGCCTGTGGATATCAACACGCCAGCCCTGCTGGTGAGTGGCCACCCTTGGTGGGTAGGATGGGAGTATTGTAGGAAGGGGCCTGGCTGCTGGGTGACACCAACCGATAAGATGGAGGTCATAGGTGGGCCCTGGCAGGGAGGGAGACGGGTGTGGGAATGCGTGTGGAATCCACTGCTATCTGCACCCATTTGCCGTGTGACTCTGGGCAAGTGTCTTGCCCTCTCTGAGCCCCACGTGCCTCTTCTGTGAAACAGACCAGAGCTAGGGCTTACCAAGAGCGAATCACACACCAAACACTTGGCTTGTACATTTCATTTCTGGCTTTATATGGGTTGTGTCCTTGGCTCTATTTAACAGATAGTTCCTGGATTGTTAAAAAGAAACCAAGCCCTGCCCAAAGTCCTCCCTCAGCTGGGGGTGGTTTGGAAGCTCCACAGCGACTGTGGTTTGCACAAAGTGACTCATCCACATCACTTTCCTCTACACCGACAGGCACCTCAAGCGGGGGCTCGGGAAAAGGTTGCCCGATCCTGGTACTGTAACCGTGGCCTCGTCTCCCTTTCGGCCAAGATCGACCGGAAGGGCTACACCCCAGGTAGCAGGCGGACGGGACTGGGTCGGGACGGGAGCTGGTGTCGGGGCTGCAGGAGGGGAAACTGAGGCCCCCCCTGCTCCTTGCTGCAGGAGAGGTCATCCCTGTCTTTGCCGAGATCGACAACAGCTCCACACGTCCTGTGCTGCCTCGGGCAGCCGTGGTGCAGACACAGACGTTCATGGCCCGAGGCGCCCGAAAGCAGAAACGGGCGGTGGTGGCCAGCCTCGCAGGAGAGCCGGTGGGCCCCGGGCAGCGGGCGCTGTGGCAGGGCCGGGCACTGCGGATCCCCCCAGTAGGTCCTTCCATCCTGCACTGCCGTGTTCTGCATGTGGACTATGCACTCAAGGTAGGGCACCCTGCTGGCCCTGGGGGACAGCGGCCACATTCACCCTGTATTCCCTCAGACCGGGGGAAGCTGAGGCCTCAGTCTCCCCAGGCATAGGAGGGAGGTGGGAGTCGGGGAGGTTGCCTGGGCACCCTCCCTCATGGATCCTTCCTCCAGGTCTGTGTGGATATCCCGGGAACGTCCAAGCTGCTGCTGGAGCTGCCACTGGTGATTGGCACCATTCCCTTGCACCCTTTTGGCAGCCGTTCTTCCAGCGTGGGCAGCCACGCCAGCTTCCTGCTGGACTGGAGGCTGGGGGCCTTGCCGGAGCGGCCTGAGGGTAAGCTCCCACCCTGCTTGCATGCAGAGGGTGGGTGGATACACGGAGAGGTGGACGCCGGGCCAACTCTCTCACCACGAGTCTCCCGGAATCCCAACCAAAGGACACACAGCCTGGCAGCCCCAGAGCTGGCACAAGCCAGCTCCTGGCCCCTGGTGCCTTGGAGGAGGGCTCTCTCTTGCCAAACTCACCCGCCCTGTCTCTCACTTCCAGCTCCTCCTGAGTACTCGGAGGTGGTAGCCGACACTGAGGTGGCAGCCTTGGGGCAGAGCCCCTTCCCACTCCCGCAGGACCCCGAAATGAGCCTTGAAGGCCCATTCTTCGCCTACATCCAAGAGTTCCGCTACCGCCCACCACCCCTGTACTCTGAGGTGAGCTCAGGGGTCGGAGAACCACCCACGCCTCTCTGGGCCCTGGGAGGCTCGATGGGGTGGCAGACATAGTAGATGGGTTTGTTTTTTGTTTTTTTAGACAGGCTCTTGCTCTGTCACCCAGGCTGGAGCGCGGTGGCATAATCATAGCTCACTGTACCCTCAACCTCCTGGGCTCAAGCAATCATCTCGCCTCAGCCTCTTGAGTAGCTGGGACTACAGGCGCACGCTGCCACATCCTGCATTTGTGTTTTGTTTTATTTTACTTTGCTTTTTGAGATGGAGTTTCACTCTTGTCACCCAGGCTGAAGTGCAATGGTGCGATCTCGGCTCACTTCAACCTCCGCATCCCTGGTACAAGCGATTCTCCTGCCTCAGCCTCCCGAGTAGCTGGGATGACAGGTGTTAGCCACCAGCCCAGCTAATTTTCGTATTTTTAGTAGAGACAGGGTTTCACCATATTGGTCAGGCTGGTCTCGAACTCCTGACCTCAGGTTATCGCCTGCCTTAGCATCCCAAAGTGCTGGGATTATATGCATGAGCCACCACGCCCAGTCAATTTTTCCATTTTTTGTAGAAATGGGGTCTCACTATGTTGCCCAGGCTGGTCTTGAACTCCTGGGCTCAAGTGAACTCCTGAACTCCTCCCACCTTGGCCTCCCCAAAGTGCTGGGATTACAGGCGTCAGCCACTGCACCCAGTTGGCAGTGGATTTTAATTGTTGACAGAATTTCTATACATACAGTCGGTCCTCTGCATTAGCTGGTTTGGAATCTGCAGATTCAACCAAACATGGGTCAGAGACATTTGAAAAATAAATACATACATGAATAATACAGATTAAAAATATGATAGGCTGAGTGCAGGGGCTCACGCCTGTAATCCCAGCACTTTGAGAAGCCAAGATGGGAGGACTGCTTGAGGCCAGGAGTATAAGACCAACCTGGGTACCAGAGCAATACCCCCATCTCTACTGCAAATAATACAAAATTACCCAGGCGTGGTGGAGCCCACCTATGGTCGGGAGGCTGCGGCAGGGGATCGCTTGAGCCCAGGAGTTTGAGGCTACAGTGAGCAATGATTGTGCTACTACACACTCCAGTCTGGGAGACAAAACAAGACCTCATCTCAATACTACTACTAATAGTAATAATGCGGCATAACAGTGATTAAATAGCATTTATATTGTGTGTGTGTGTGGTGTGTGTGTGTGTGTGTATATATATATATATATATATATATATATATATATATTTTTTTTTTTTTTTTTTTTGTGAGACGGAGTCTCGCTCTGTGGCCCGGGCTGGAGTGCAGTGGCCGGATCTCGGCTCACTGCAAGCTCCGCCTCCCGGGTTCATGCCATTCTCCTGCCTCAGCCTCCCGAGTAGCTGGGACTACAGGCGCCCGCCACCTCGCCCGGCTAGTTTTTTGTATTGTTTAGTAGAGACAGGGTTTCACCGTGTTAGCCAGGATGGTCTTGATCTCCCGACCTCGTGATCCGCCCGTCTCGGCCTCCCAAAGTGCTGGGATTACAGGCTTGAGCCACCGCGCCCGGCTATATTTTTTTTTTTGAGATGGAGTCTTGCTGTGTCACCCAGGCTGGAGTGTGCAGTGGCACAATCTTGGCTCACTGCAACCTCCACCTCCCGGATTCAAGCAATTTTCCCTGTTTTAGCCTGCCGGGTAGCTGGAATTACAGGCGTCCACCACCATGCCCGGCTAATTTTTGTATTTTTTAGTAGAGACAGGGTTTTGCCATGTTGGTCAGCCTGGTCTCGAACTCCTGACCTCAGGTGATCTGCCTGCCTTGGCCTCCTAGAATGCTGAGATTACAGGTGTGAGCCACCACACCTGGTCATAAAGTATTATAGGTAATCTACAAGAGATTTAAAGTACACGGGAGGGCTGGACACAGTGGTTTATGCCTGTAATCCCATCACTTTGGGAGGCTGAGGTGAGCAGATCACTTGAGGTCAGAAGTTTGAGACCAGCCTGGCCAACATGGCAAAATCAGGTCTCTACCAAAAATACAAAAATTAGCTGGGCGTGGTGGCGTCCACCTGTGATCCTAGCTACTCAGGAGGCTGAGGTGGGAGAATCGCCTGAACCCAAGAGGTAGAGGTTGCAGTGAGCCGAGATCGTGCCACTGCATTCCAGCCTGGGTGACAGAGCGAGACTCTGTCTTAAAAAATAAAATGAGGCCGGGCGCGGTGGCTCAAGCCTGTAATCCCAGCACTTTGGGAGGCCGAGACGGGCGGATCACGAGGTCAGGAGATCGAGACCATCCTGGCTAACACGGTGAAACCCCATCTCTACTAAAAAATACAAAAAAAAACTAGCCGGGCGAGGTGGCGGGCGCCTGTAGTCCCGGCTACTCGGGAGGCTGAGGCAGGAGAATGGCGGGAACCCGGGAGGCGGAGCTTGCAGTGAGCTGAGATCCGGCCACAGCACTCCAGCCTGGGTGACAGAGCGAGACGCCGTCTCAAAAAAAATAAAAAAATAAAATAAATAAATAAATAAATAAAATGAGACCGGGCGCGGTGGCTCACACCTGTAACCCCAGCACTTTGGGAGGCCGAGACGGGCGGATCACAAGGTCAGGAGATTGAGACCTTCCTGGCAAACACGGTGAAACCCTGTCTCTACTAAAAATACAAAAAAATTAGCCGGGCGTGGTGGCGGGCGCCTGTGGTCCCAGGTTCTAGGGAGGCTGAGGCAGGAGAATGGCGTTAACCCAGGAGGCGGCAGAGCTTTCAGTGAGCGGAGATCGCGCCACTGCACTCTAGCCTGGGCGACAGAGCGAGACTCCGTCTCAAAAAAAAAAAAAAAAAAAAGAAATAAAAATAAAGTACACGGGAGGATGGGCTTAGACTATCCGCAAATATTATGCCATTTTATATCAGAGACCTGAGTATCTGTGGATTTTGGTATCCACGGGGTTCCTGGAACCAATCCCCTGTGAATACCAAGGGACAGTATACGCTCCACTCCAAAACTCTCCTTGCACCCCAGTCTGCCCTAGACACCACCTCCAGATGGCCTCTTCCCTGGTCAAGGGTGGGAGTTGGGAGATGGCTGGATGGGGAGGGGTATTTCTGAATTTCTGTTTCCAGTGTCCTCTCAGGCTTAATGGTAACGTTTCTCTCAGGAGGATCCAAACCCACCCTCAGGGGCCATGAGGCCGCGCTGCATGACTTGCTGAACGGCACAGGGACCCCGTGAGGAACAAGGATGCACACCGGCTTTCAGCCATCGTGACTGTGGGGAGCGGCTGGACCAAGGGCTGACCTCCCCGACTGCATTTAAGCTGGGAAACCAAGTCTCAGAGTGAGGCGGGGCCTTTCGGATATCACGTGGGACAGAGGAAGAGCCCAGCTGGAGTCTGACTTATCTGGACCGCCACTGTCCTTGTGAGGCACGGAATGTCCAGTGCAGTATCCCAGGGACTGTTTAATAACCTGTCCTCCCAGCCTGTCGGCAGTGCTGGAGTCCACCAGGAGCCTTCAGTCTGGGAGAAACAGAGCCAGACATAGACAATTCCAGCATCACGAAACCAGAAGAAGAGACCTGCAGCTGTGAGAATCCAGACAGGAAGCAGAGATGGCATCCCTGCGGAAAGGGCATTTTAGCTGAGGCTTTGGACTACACACAGGAGCTCAGCAGGCAGACGAATGAGGAAGAAAAGTCAGAGAAGGTCAGAGCCGAGTGACGTTTGGAATCCACCCCATTTATTGTAGAACTGGGGGTTCAGAGGGCAGGTGCCTGAAAGTCGAGGCCACACAGTGAGGTCCGGTGGGTGAAAGGACCCAGGAACGAGGCGTTCAGGAAAGCAGGTTGTCGGAGCTATGTGGGGTCTGTGGGTGGCAGGGGCAGCCGCTCCAGCCTTTGAAGACTTTGAAAGCCAGAGATTCCTGGCGCAGGCTTGGACTTCCTGGGAGCTCCTCCAGGTACCCAGGAGCATCGGAGCTGCCTGGGTGTTCCATGGCCCAGGGAACCCAGGTTCAGGGTAGGACAGGCAAGACCAGATACCTAACGTGCAAAGTGAAAACACTGGGGTCCCCGTTAAATGATGAAGAATTCAAGACAGTGACAACATTACGTCATACCTGGGGACAGAGGTCAGCCTAAGGTGACAGCCGGGGACTACTGTGCTTCCCGGAGGCTCCTTGTGTCCTGGAGGAGAAGAGCACTCGAGGGGGCCACTGGACAAGCTCCCAACTGCAGGGTGCCAGCGCTGGCTGGGGCAGGGCCCCGGGCTGGAACTCAGCATTTCTGATATGCCTTAAGAAATCATTGTTTTGTACAATTATTTTTTAAAAGTAAATGTGTGGAGAAAGAAACCGGGCTTCTTGGTTTATTTTCCGCCCCCGTCTGGCTGCTGAGGGAACTGGGACTGCCATTCCTGGTCACTATCTTGGAGACTAAATTCCTGGCCAAGGAAAGCGGAGGGGCCCATGATTCAGAAGGGGAGACTGAGGCCCAGGACTGGGAGGGGGTTGGCCCAAGGACATATGAGGAGGCTGAGCTGGGGTGGGAGCTGAGCCCTGGGCCCCTTACTTGCACTCCCTGTGGGAGTCTCAGAGGCGAGTGGAGGCTAAACAGTGGAAGCCAAGCACAGAACTCCTCTATCCTCAGAGAGTGGCGGGCTGGGGCTGGGAGGAGCCGCTTGAGTACGGGAACATCCTGTTACCTGAGTCTAGGTTTGGTTTTTGTAGGTTTTTTTTTTTTTTTTTTGGTGGTGGTTTTTTGTTTTTAGAGGGAGTCTTGCTGTGTCGCCCAGGCTGGAGTGCAGTGGTGTGATCTCAGCTCACTGCAACTCCTGCCTCCTGGGTTCAAGCGATTCTCCTGCCTCAGCCTCCCAAGTAGCTGGGATTACGGGTGCCTGCCACCATACTTGACTAATTTTTGAATTTTTAGTAGAGACAGGGTTTCTTTTTTTCTTTTCTTTTTTTTTTAAGACAGAGTTTCATTCTGTCACCAAGCTGGAGTGCAACGGCTTGGTCTCAGCTGACTGCAACCTCCGCCTCCCAGGTTCAAACTATTCTCCTGTTTCATCCTCGAAAGTAGCTGGAATTACAGGCATGCGCCACCACACCCGGCTAATTTTTCTTTTTCTTTTTCTTTTTTTTTTTGAGATGGAGTCTCGCTCTGTCGCCCAGGCTGGAGTGCAGTGGCACAATCTCGGCTCACTGCAAGCTCCGCTCCGCCTCCCGGGTTCACGCCATTCTCCTGCCTCAGCTTCCCAAGTAGCTGGGACTACAGGTGCCCGCCACCACGCCCGGCTAATTTTTTGTAATTTTAGTAGAGACGGGGTTTCACCATGTTAGCCAGGATGGTCTCGAACTCCTGACCTCGTGATCCACCCGCCTCGGCCTCCCAAAGTGCTGGGATTACAGACGTGAGCCACCGCGCCCGGCCATTTTTCTATTTTTTTTAATAAAAAGTAGAAACCTGTTGGCCAGGCTGGTTTCAAACTCCTGACCTCAGGTGATCTGCCTGCCTCAGCCTCCCAAAGTGCTGGGATTACAGGCGTAAGCCACCATGCCTAACCCTGGATTTGTTTTTATGGAGGTGAAATTAACATATTATAAAATTCACCATTTGAAAGTGTTCAATTTAGTATACTTTACAATGTAGCATTTAGTATATTCATAATGTTTCTTTTGTTTTGTTTTGAGATGGTCTCACTCTGTTGCCCAGGTTGGACTGCAAATGGCCCCATCACCGCAGCCTCAAACTCCTGGGCTCAAGAGATCAACTTGCCTCAGCCCTCCCAAGTAGTTGGGACCACAAGTGTGTACCACCACACCCAGCTGATTATTTTTTTGTAGAGACATGATCTCCCTTTGTTTCCCAGGTGGGTCTCCAACTCCTGGGCTCAAGCAGTCCTCCTGCCTCAGCCTCCCAAAGTGCTGGGATTACAGGTATGAGCCACCACAACCGACCTGGCTATTTACAATGTTATGCAACCATCACCACCATCTATTTCCAGAACATTTCTATCCCTGCCAAAGGAAACCCCGTCCCCACTAGTGATTAATCCCCATTCCCCTTCCCCCACCTCTGGCAACCACTAATCCACTTTCTGTCTCTATGGATTTGCCTGTTTTGAACATTTCACATCGATGGAATCATGTAGCCTTTTGTGTCTGGCTTTTATCACTCAGCATGTTTTTGGGGTTCATCCACATTGTACCATGTATCATTCCTTTTTCTGGTTGAATAATATTCCATTGTCTGCACAGACCACATTGTGTTTAGCCATTCATCCGCGGATGGACACCCGGGTTGTTTCCATGGCTTCGCTATAGTGAATCTTGCTGCTAAGAACACGCGTGTTCAAGGATTTATTTGAAAACCCACGGAGCTGTTAGGTGGCCCTAGTGGCATGGGGCTGTCATTCTTCTGGAGTTACTGGTGGGGATAGTGAGCTCAAGAGAAAGAGACTAGCCTGGCCGACATGGTGAAATCCTGTCTCTTCTAAAAAGAATACAAAAATTAGCCAGCTGTGGTGGCAGGCACTTGTAATCTCAGCTACTCAGGAGGCTGAGGCAGAAGAATCACTTGGACCTGGGAGGTAGAGGCTGCAGTGAGCCGAGATCGTGCCACTGCACTCCAGCCTGGGTGACAGAGTGAGACCCTTTCTCAAAAAAATAAAAAGGAAAGGAAGGAAAGAAGAAGGAAAGGAAAGGGAAAGGAAGGGAAAAGAAAAGAAAGTGGGGGAGGGAGGCAGAGAGAAAGAGGGAGGAAAGAGGGAGGAAGGAAGGAAGGAGGGAGGGAGGGAAGGAAGGAAGGAAGGAAGGAAGGAAGGAAGGAAGGAAGGAAGGAAGGAAGGAAGGAAGGAAGGAAGGAAGGAAGGAAGAGAGATGCTCCACCCAGGGTCCCACAGTCAGGACTGAGACAGCCAGCACTCAAAACTGCCCCTTGGGCCAGGCACAGTGGCTCACACATGTAAATCCCAGCACTTTGGGAGGCCAAAGCAGGAGGATCGCTTGAGCCCACGAGTTTGAGACCAGCCTGGGCAACATAGCAAGATCCTGACTCTACAAAAAATATAAAAAATTAAGCAAGTGTGGCAGTGTGGACCTGTAATTCTAGCTACTTAGGAGGATGAGGTTGGGAGTATCACTCGAGCCTGGGAAGTCAAGGCTGCAGTGAGCTATGATCGCACCACTGCACTCTAGCCTGGGCGACAGAGCAAGATCCTGTCTCAAAAAATATATATAAACACTGCCCCTTAGACTCCAGTGTCCGTGCCCCCCTCAGGCCACATGATACTGTGCCCCTCAAGCTCCCGCTGAAGCTCCACCTGTCCCACCTAAGCCCTCATGCCCCTCCAAGTTTGGGCAAGGCCCTATTGAAACCCTCATCTGGGCCAGGCATGGTGGCTCATGCCTGTAATCCCAGCACTTTGGGAGGCCGAGATGGGCGGATCACGAGGTCAGGAGATCGAGACATCCTGGCTAACACGATGAAACCCGTTTCTACTAAAAATACAAAAACTTAGCCGGGCATGGTGGTGGGCACCTGTAGCCCCAGCTACTCAGGAGGCTGAGGCAGGAGAATGGCGTGAACCCGGGAGGCAGAGCTTGCAGTGAGCTGAGATCATGCCACTGCACTCCAGCCTGGGCAACAGAGCAAGACTCCGTCTCAAAAAAAAAAACCCTAGTCTGATACCCCAGGATGTCCCAGTCAGCCTGCCCAAGGCAGCAGAAATTAACTGGCAGGCTGGAGTGGCCATTGTCGGGGCCAGGAGCCAGGGATGAGGACTGGGGGGACCCAGGGACTGGACACGAGGAGATCTGCATTAGGACTTGGCTCTCTGTGTGATTCCAGGCAGGTCACCTTGTGTCTGAGCCTGTTTTGTCATCTGAGACTCTGGGAGACACCCACCCCTCACACCCTGCCACAGTCCTCAATCACTTCCTTCCTCTGGCCTGAGGGTGAGCCCTCCTTTCCTGCTACCCCTGGTCCTAAGGTCCACCGAGACCTCCTTTGACCTGGCATCGAGCTTGGAGCATGCCATATGTGGGAGGTCCCAGAGTCCAGGCGGAGGGGAAGCGTTCCTACAACACAGTCACTAGAAGCCGAACTGACAGTCTCAGTAGGAAATGAGTTCTTTGTCACGCGGGGTGTGCAAGACATAAGGTATCAGTTTCCAGATCCATGTTCCCAAACAGAGGAGAGTCTACGGTATTTATTCCAGCAAGGGATGTGGATACAGTGCGACCAAAAGATTCCGCCCAGCGGGGGTGGGAGGACAAGACGCCCGGTGTCCTCAGGACTCCTGAGTCTGCAGCTATGGGGAACTTGATCCCGACAGAAGGAGAACTTTCCGGTTCAGATGATCGACAACCAGGATAAAGCTGGCCCAGGTAGTCCCAATTCAGGAAACTTCCTGAACTTCCCGGGGAGGGGCCCAGGGAGCCCAAAGGCAGGTGGTCAATTTCTATCAAACATGAAATAAGGCCGGGCGCAGTGGCTCATGCCTGTAATCCCAGCACTTTGAAAGGCTGAGGTAGGAGGATCACGTGAGGCCAGGAGTTTGAGACCAACCTGGTCAACAGAGTGAGACCTCATCTCTACAAAAAAAAAAAAAAAAAAAAAAAGTAAACATCAGCCGGGCCTGATGGCATGTGGTCCCAGTTACTCAGGAGACTGAGGCAGGAAGATCACTTGGCCCAGGAGGTCTAGCCTGCAGTGAGCTGTGATCAAACCACTGTACTCCAGCCTGGGTGACGCAGCAAGAATTTTTCTTAAATAATAATAATAACAACAAACCCCACACCTCTATAGGCCCATAAGACCCCCTGCCCTCCTTTCCCTCCAGCTCCCCATCCCTCCCTGTCTGCTACTCAAACACTCCAAGCTGATTTTTATTTTTATTTTTATTTTTTAGACAGAGCCTCTCTCTGTTGCCCAGACTGGAGTGCAGTGGCTCAATCTCGGCTCACTGCAACCTCCACTTCCCAGGTTCAAGTGATTCTGCTGCCTCAGCCTCCCAAGTAGCTGCGACTACAGGTGCGCGCCACCATGCTCAGCTAATTTTCGTATTTTTAGTAGAGACTGGGTTTCACCTTACTGGCCAAGCTGGTCTTGAACACCTAACCTCAAATGATCCACCTGCCTCGGCCTCCCAAAGTGCTGGGATTACAGGTGTGAGCCACCACGCCTGGCCCTCCAAGATGATTTTTACCTTGGGGACTTCTCATGTACTATTTCCCCTGTGAAAAGGCTCTTCCCCCATTGGCGGTTTCTCTTTACCCTCTGGCCTCACGTTTTCAGAGCCACTCCAACCTCCTGGCCAAAGTTGCCCCCCACTCCATCACTCCCTCTCCTG